CCCCCCCCCCCCTTCCAAGTGAGATGTAGTGATGGACACCACTTCTGCGGATACTGTGCTCGTGGCACAGAGGAAGGCCCCTCTGCAGACTGCTAATGAAGCCATTGGGATGCGGATTCCATCCCGAGCCCCCTCAGCCTCCCCGGCCGAGAACCAGCCCTTCTAATTGGAACAATGAATCCAGGGGTGGAATTGATCGCGTCCCATCACGGCACTTCACCTATGGGACGCGCCGCGATCGATCCCAGGCCTGTGATTTATGCCTGTTTGAGTGTTTCGCCTCGTGGGTGACCGAGCCTGAACGTATATCGCCTGCAAACCCATCCGACACCGCCTTTCCTCACTGCAGATGTTTACGAGCCCAGTGGCAACAAAAAAAAAAAAAAGAAGTCAGTAAAGGGGATATATGCTCTATGTTTGAGGCCAGATTAGCCCCGCGAACACATAATTGTGGGACACAAAAACGCCCACAAAAATGAGCATTTACCAGAGTTTTCAATAGATTTTTCTTTCTACTGAGTTAGATTTCTGATCATTTTGACAGAAATGAAAAGCAAAGTGGCCCTACAGGATTAGCAAACCTCACCTGGAACACAGAAGAACATTTGAGGTGATTGGACGATGATGATGTATTTCCTCCATATACGGTCTCTTTTTCTTTTCTTCTTTTTCCGGCTCCCACTCTGCACCCTGCATTCACGCCTTCTCTTTTCGTCTCTCATCTGCCCCCCCCTGAGAGACATATCTGAGAGGTTAAGCACCAGTTCACCGTTTGTGAGTCAGCTCCCGTCCCGCAGGCATTCGCCAGTTCGGGCTAAGACTCCACGCTTTTAGATCTGAATATAACAGCAAATCAAGCCACAGGGTCCTCTCTCACTGCTCCCTCTGGGCTCCTGGTGGGGGGGGGGGGGGGGTTCAGGAGCAGTTTGATAGAAGCTGGTTGTCGTATTCGGTTGTCTTGTTTCTTTTATATGTCCCCCACCCCCCAATTCTCTCTCTCTCTCTCTAAATCCTCAAGGTTTGGGTAGAAAACAAGGTTTTACAAATATAGGGCCTCCCTTTCTGCCAGGGATAGCGGCCTACCGCCCCCCCCCCCTAGGCCTGGGCCCTGGCTGAAAAAGTAAATGAGTCTGGCACAGCTATGGCAGTCAGACATTCATTGTACTTGCCATGATGCTGAGCAGGACAAGGGGAGGAAAAAAAAAGAAGAAAAAAAGTGTGTCTGACCAGGTCGGTTTTCCCTCCTTTTTCTCTGACAGACCCGTCTGCTTCTTGGTGCCGACGTCTTCTCCCGCCTGCTCTTTGTGGGATTCCACCTTCAGACAGAGGTGTGGTGATGTTTGTAGTTTGGATCTGCTTTTTCCAGCGAGCAGTCTTTCCCTTTTGCCCGCCTCTGCTAAAACTTTCTCATCACCTCTTGACCTTTTTCCCATTAATCTCAGGCTGTCAAATCCAGATTCTTATTCCTCAGTCTGATTTGGGATAGAAAACCCCTTTTTCCCTTGCGTGAACCCTTCTCTGTTTGAGATGCATTTCATTCAAATGGCGACACGTTCAGAACCCTGCTGCCCGGATTCTGACAGGAACCAGGAAATGTGACCATATCACCCCCGTCTTGAAGTCCTTACACTGTCTCCCGGTGAGATTACACAGCTCGTCTCCACAGTACTTACCTGGCCTAATAATCCCGTATACCCCGATTCTCAGCCTGTGCTGACCACAGTGTGATTTTCTAAATGTTCCTCAAACGCCCCTAAAATCTATGAGTGACTGGGACTTTTCCGTCTATGCTCCTTCGTTCTGGAACTTTCTTCCTCCTGAACTCGGGGAGGCCCAGACTCTTGGCATGTTTAATGCTCTCCTTTAGACACACTTTTTGAAACTCGCGTTCGATTGCTGATTTTTTTGTGATTGTTTTATACCATTTTCATTGTGTTGTTTTTTTTTGTTTTTTTTTTATTAGCTCTTGCTCGCCATATTTGTCTGTGGCTTTGAGAAGCTGCTTTTAAAGGTGCTCTATAAAATAAAGTTTGTTCTTCTTCTTATTTCATCCTATCTATTTTCTACCTGTAAAACTGTCCGAATTACGTCTTCTGATTTGACCTGAAATGATGGAAAATGCCAATAAAGGAGCTGTTTTCAATGGACCAAAATAGGGTTGATTCTCAACAAGGCTTACGCCAATCATATTTTACAAACAATTGGAAATATTCAAATGAGAACGCGTGAAGTGAGGCCTGGCAGCCAGCCACTGGGCCAGATGTCAGCTGTCCACACAGAGCACCCTTTGACCATTAGGACTCTGGCCATCATGGAGACCAATGATTTGGTCCAGCAGATGCTTCGAGCCTGAAACCGTTTAAAAAACGTACAATTTTGTCGTTTGTTTAATACAAAAAACAACAACAACTATGAATAAGTCAAATCCGTACGTAGTGGTAACAATTCTTTTGGAGCTCTCTGTCCAGAAGCGGGTGGCTTCCAGTTTTGCTCTCTGTCCCCTTCACGTCCCAGACGATTTGAGTTTTTTTTATTTCCTGCTTCCACCACACGGCCGATCCCGGTCGCTGTTCGCCAGGCCCCTCAAATCAGCTGATCCAGCTGGTAATCCACCTCTCTCTCCTCCCTCCCCCCCTCCTCCTCCCCCCTCTCCTCCTCCCTCTCCTCCTCCCTCTCCTCCTCACCAGAGCAGCGCGCCTCGGATGCCTTGTGACCAGCAGCGCCGAGCGGAGAAAAGCCGTCCAGAGAACGCACGCCAGCTCAGCAAACATTCCGCCCCGAACCATGACATTCTTACACGCGCGACAGGGGCCAACACCGATTTGACAACTTGAGAGCCCGCACCTTGCCTCCGTCGCTCCCTGCTATTCAGCGGTAAGCGCTCTCGTTTCGTTCCCTTTTGAATTTTTGCCCGTTTTGTGCGCGCAGCCAATAAAGCAGTTCATATCTGAGATGGTGGTCCGTGAAGGCAGCACGTATTTTTTTATAATGACATGATGTGTACGTCTTTTTATTATTATTATTATTATTATTATTATTATTATTATTATTATTATTATTATTATTATTATCATTTATTTATTTATTTATTTATTTATTTATTTATTTATTTATTTATTCATTTTAGAAGTACTGCGTGCCAAGTTGGATTTTTATCTGCCAGAAAGACTTGATTTCTTTATTTACGTCCCCCCACCTTTTGTCATTGTAAATTTAGAATACATCCCAGAGCTAAGTCTCTCTTAGACCTTCTCTTATCCTATAAAACTGGAATTGGGTTTGATGTGGTCACATCAAGTTTATGTACCTTAAATCCGCGGTGGAGAGTCACATGAAATAATGCTGCTAGTCTTCCCAGTGACGGTGTCATTGTTTTTTGAGTTGGTTTTAAGTTGTTTATTTATCGACACACGCAAAGACGTGGGTCTTTGGGGTGGCTCAATTGTGCACTTGTGGCGATCTGAGGAAAGGTTGCGTGAGGTCAGAGGCATCACAGTAAGTCATCCTATCGCCGCTTTTCCTTTTTTTTTTGTTTGCGTGGTTTGTGTCCGCATCACAGCAGAGCTGAACGGGGAGGGTTTGCTGGGGGGGGAGAGAACGGGCACATATCACGAAGCCCGTTCTCCTCAGGTCAGGCCAAACGCACGCTGAGGTGTGAGGATGCGTCAGATGGCATACAGCACGCAGTCGTGAAGAGAAAAAAAAGAAAAAAAAACACGTCCTGATCTCTGCCCAGGCTGTTCTCGCCACCTGTGGAAACGGGAACATGTGACCAGAGCCCCTGAGACCTTTCTCCTCTCTGAGATGATGCCAGGCTGTGAAAGCAGTTTGATATCTCTGACATCCGTAATTGTTACTGTTCAACACTGTGTGTGAGATATGATAACGACACTAATCGGTAGGGGAAAAAAAGAAGGAAACTCTGTTGACACGTTTTAAGGAGAAAGTGAATTATCATCTCACTGCTTAACACTTCGAATCTCCCATGACTCAGACTTTAGCCTTTGAATAACCCACTGAGACATAATTGAGACTCGGCCGTGACTCAGTACTCCATTTAGGCCTAATTCAACCGTTAAATGCAAGTTCCATCCTCCATTCAAATTCTGCATCTGGTGCAGAAGACAGAAAAAAATCGTGATCTGGAACAGCCGGCGTAAAGCTCATGTGTCTTTTTGTATGAAGTATTCATGCCCTCGTGCCACTGTTTTGGTTGGGTGTGGCGATCCAAAGAGGGCTTTCAGGTTTCCGTCACACAGACAGAACCCTGCTCTTTTGAAATATTTACTTGAAATGTGCGTGCGTTTGAGTCTGAGTGGTTGTGGGGGGTGGTGGTGGTGGTGGGGGGGGGGGGGGTGTCACATGCTATCAGATAATCTGGTTGCTCAAAAGGCCAGCCTGACTGTGCACTGCATCATAGCCCATCAAAGAGCCTCCACTTACGCGCACGCAGGCGTACCCTTTTTTTTTTTTCCAGAACTGATGGTTAGAAAAGGGCAGAGTTCAGTGGCGCACACGCTCATGAATGCACCCACACATCTGATCACACTTCAGATCGGCAGCCGCCCGCCGCCGGACCGGGTGCTCTTTGAAATGAAAATCTAATGAAAACACCCGAGCGGCCGAGCAGACACTTATCATAGTAATGAACGGGCTTCGGGGCCTTCGCCCGGGTGCACCTTCGCGTGTTTCGTTGCACGGTATGCTGCCGTGCGATTTCTGCTCCACTTCCTCCTGGGAATGCAAAGCCAGGTTTTGATAAATCTTTTCGTAGGTGCGTGAGCGTGAATTGTTCAGAAAATGCGACCTCTCTCACGTTCATGCTAGCTACTGACTTTACCTTCTTAAACAGCTTGTCGTACTGGCAACTTCTTTGTAGATCACAGAAAATATGGAATAGTTTGGTCACAGTTATGGAACCAAAACACTACATTTGAGGGTAAATCCAAATTTAAAGCGAGAAAAACTGACTCGGCCAACTCTATACGCGGTCATATCCATCACATGCTGCCATTTTGTTGGGATTCATCGATGTTTATACCTCTGCAAACAGTCTTCAAGTACTTTTTTCCTTTTTGGAAGAGAGTTTAGTGCTACTCCAGCTACTGTGTCAAAGGACAGTCAGTGTTTATTTTGGATTTTACAAGCCTTTGCAGAACTTGACTCAGATTATTTGTTTCAAGGAACCATTTGGAAATCCCCTTCAGAAACAGTTGGGAGAAGAAAACGACCTTTTTAAAAAGTGTCTTTACGTCAACTTCAGCTAACTTTAACCTGCCAAATAAATCAAAACCCAACCACAAACAACTAACTGATTATCAAAGCCAAACTTTGGGCATAAAATGTAAAACTTGGAGCCTGTCTAGACTAATTCTGTCGTAAATCCAGTTTTGTAAATCTCAAATATATACTCTATATAGTCAGCAGTAATAAAGTAAAACTTTCAGAATAAAAACTGGATGTCGAAATGGATTTCGTGTTGGCATAGAAAAAAAAGTAGCGTACACATCTACTGTTTTCTGCCTGATTTCTGTCCAGCTGTTTGTAGGAGAGCACAGACAGGTGATAGAGCGGATCGTTTCAAAATGTAATAGCAATAACTAACATATTGTAAGAAAAAAGCCCACCAAGCTGACAATAGAAAGATGTGGCCACACAAGGCAGTGCAGGGATCGATGGAAAGAAAGCCTCCGATAAAGGCGTCAAACATAAATGCGGGAAGAAATAAAAATATGAACCCCATCTTGTCTTCCTATGGGATTGGAAATCGATCCAATCCACGCATCTCCTCTGGAGTTCTAGGACTAAATAAAAGCCAGAGGTGTGCTCTTCTTGACCCGGGTGGTGTCTCTACAGGCCGGTTGTGGCTCCCTCCTCCCTCCCCACCATCCCCCCCCCCCCCCCCCCCCCCCCCCCCCCCCCCCCCGGCTGCTGACTGAGTAGCTCTGCCATCCCTCCTTTTGATAGTGATGAAAGGAGAGGAAAGCGAGAAAGAAAATGGTTCAGCGCCGGACATATTACAGGTTGCCGCCAGGAAGGAAAATAAGAGAAATAGGGGTCAGCCGTCACGGGGAGAGAGGCTTTTAAACGAATAGCTTTTAGCGAAAAATACAATAATTAACGCAGTTTGTTTAGACAGTCACCGTGGAGAGATAAAGAACACAGTGATGGTGCGGAGGAAAAAAAGCCTGTGAGCTTTTGAGACTTCGGTGATTATTTGAAAGAGGTCTCACTTCTCCAAAAGGCTGCTGGCTCCGACTCGGGTAGTCGCTCGTAGCTGACTTATTGCCGCAATGAAAACATAATATTGCCAGCTCAGCTATGAGGGGATTAGCCTGGAAAATGGGAGAAGCAGGGGGGGATGAGTGGATAAACATTTGAAAGAATACACGGTAGTCTAGTGATTTCATGGTTGTCAGTATGCCAATATTATGGAGTTTTACAAGAGCATAAACCCCCTGACAGAATAGTAATGCAATTCTGTTTGATACCTGTATACATTTGAGCATAAATATCAGTTTCCACAGCGCCTGAAGGTGACTTTTAACAGTCTTTACCATTTCATAAGCTGTTAATATATTGAAGAGGTTGTTGTCATAGTAAATACTATGAGCCTGAGATGTGGTTTTGCAAGCTAATAGCCAAGAAATGCCCTATTAGTCAGAAAGCTAACATTATATTTAATAAGGCAGTACGATTTAATACCGCAGTCAGTTACTGTAATTTGACTCTTGAGTAGAATATCGAGCACTTATAGGAAGTCTATTTGAATGAAAACAAGCAAAGAATTTTGATGGTCGAGCCTCATAGGGCTCAGATAGGTTCTCTTTGAGGTATGCATCCCCTCAAACTCTGTCAAAAACCTGGATGATTTATCCTTCTACTTAATTTAGCAGTTTATGATGCCAAGGGAGAAATGGCTCAATATCTAATAGTAAAATTATACAACATGTTATTTTGCCTGATAACACCGTTATTGGCCTGTTTATTTACTGCTGACCGTTAAATACGAAATTCAATTTCGTCCGATTTTAAACAAAGTCAGATGGCTTAATTTGTCTCATACTTGCAGCTCAATTAGGGGGAAATGGAGTTTGCTGCCCTGCCACGCCTGATTCGACATGAATTTGCCGGTTTGCATGAAAACACGGTGTAACGGATTGAATTTATGTCCGCTGTCACGAGGTGACGCCGCGCGAATGAGTCAGCCGCTCACCTCATTAACGATTGTGTTGGGGAAAAAAAAAAAAACTGGGCCAACGGGACAGGCTTCTTATGAGCTCCTCTTCTCTGTTAATTTCACAGCTGTTAAAATGCAGAATGGCGCCCGTGTGCGTACGGTTTAATATTGCTCTGAAAAGGGTGAAATTGGAAATCTGTGAACATGAAATGGAGCCGGGACTGCGTTTGGCTGGTTGGTTTTCTTTGTGTCCCTTCAGTCAGTGGGAGAAATGAGAAGACATGAATGCTTCGCGGAGGATTTGGACGTTAACTCGAGTCCTCCGTCCAAAGCCTCGGTGCTAACGGTCTCTGCCGTGCGATGTTTTGGCCGCGTCTCCTGCCGCTGGCACGTGCTCTCGGTGCAGCATATGTGCTCTGGGTCTGAGTGCGCGTGCCATTCCGTGGGATCCGTTTGGCTCCCGGTTTCCATCCAGCCTGGCACTCTTAACGGCCTTCTGCTTTCTCGCCTGTGGAGGATCTTCGCCATCTGACAGGCAGCAGCAGCAGGCCGACCACGGTGGCGCTGGGCCCACTCTAACCGTATCGCGGCCAGTGGCAGGTTCCACGGCAGCCTCAACAGGAAGTGCGTGACAGCTCTGGCCTGTTTGAGCACCGCTGCTGTGATTGTTTCGTTAATTTCTTACTTTCTGATTGGCCGCACTCATCGGTTTTTGCCTGGCGCATGGGACATAAAGCCAACATACTTCTTTTTAAACCATTTAGCTGGTAGTCTGTCCAAACTGCACATTGAGGGGGAAAAAAAAAGTATTTCACCAAAGACGGGTTGGTTGTAATTTAAGTAATCAGTTTCGTTCGGCCGGTTTAAACTGACCGATGAAGTCCAGCTGAGCCCGTTCCTGCGCCATGCGGGAAATCCAGCTCACCCCAGCCCAGAAACACTTGGCATACGTGGTGTGTAATCAGACTCATCCAACAGCAAATGGCAAAAAAGGGGACTTTTTGGAAAAGTCGCACAAACTCCCTAAGGTCTGATATGATAAGCAGACCTTTTGCTTTGGGGGTTTGTGAAGTAAACTGTGCAGCGGTGGGAGAGCGCTCAGCATGACACCAGGCCACCAATTCTACTCACCAAAAAGAGCTTACGATCCTTTTTTGGTTTTGTTTTTAAAAGCAGATCTTGAATGTTTTGAGAAACATTTCTGTTTTTTGATGAAAATGATTGAATTTGCGTAAAGTCGTAAGCCACGACTAGAGCAACGGTTTGATAAAAATGGCTCCGGATGAATTCCTTGCACGACTCCCATGCAAGCAACCATCAAGCTCAAACGGCTTGCTCGCGCACGTGACCGCTCCCTTTTCCAGCAGCCGATTGGACGGCTAGTAACGTGCAAATTAAGACGGCAAATGTTGCCCTGGCAGTCGCTGTTTTGGGTGGACTGGGGGTTGTTTTCGGTGTGCGGAGGAGGAGCCGAGAGCCGGGGCAGTTTGCTGAGGGATAGAGAAAACAAATGAGCTTTGGGATGCGAAGTTAGAGAGCACAGAGACATACGGTGAGGGAGCTGTCAGGCCGGGAGATGAAGATGGATGTGGCCTGCTTCTGCCTATAGGCCCTGCAGAACAGCATATGGAGATGGTGGCATGGGGCATATTACAGGGTGGAAGACTTTAGTTTTTTTCTTTAATTTATTATTATTACTTTTTATGGTACAGGCACTTTAACAAAAGGACGAAACGTTTTTCGGTTAATTGTTCAAAGCATTTTGGAGACATGCCATCTTGCAGAGACCCAAAATGAAAAATAGTGATACTGCTCTTAAATTCTCTACGTCACAATGGGGCAACGGTGCTCACTGGCAAATGCCGGAGTCAACCAGAAGGGACTGGGGTTAACTCATTTTGCTGCTTCCAGAGTTTTGACAATGCTGAGCAAAGCTAATAGTCTCTTTGCTGTATTGTCAAGGTTCAGTACAAGTAAGCAAGAACGTGTGGTAAAATGCTGACCTGCCCCTTTACTGAAACGGTATCCAATTTTCTCTGTTTTAATCAGTGGATGTGAAGCAAGTGTAGTCACCATCAACATGTAGTTTAAATGCGGTTTGGAGAAAAGCATATATACCATAAACTCTGCTAAAAAGAGCTCATTATTAACTGGAAAGGAGAGCTAGCTGGTGTCTCTGTCATTTCCATTATTAGGGTCACGTTCCTCTCACTCTGCTTTTCTTGCTTCTGCTCTGCTCTGTCACACAGATCAGTGTCCATTCATTTTGAGGCATCTTCTCCTCTCACGTTTCTTCCCCCCTCTCCGTTCTTCCTTCCTTCCTCTCCCCTCACGTGTTCTCCATCCTTGTGCCTCTCTCAGAGAGCAGAATTATTCCATTTATCTCTCGGAGTCTTCTCGGTTTCTCTGTTCCCCTCAGTTTGCCGTGCTCTGCTTGTGGTGTGTTCAAAGCGCAGAGCCCCCCCCCCCAGAGAGGCAGTGAAGAGTGTACACTGGCTGGAACAGGAAGGATTGAAGGATTGAGAGCACGGAGGAGAAGAAAAGACAAACAGACAGGAGAAAATGAGGGCATCTATGCTCACCTGAATTTTTTACTTTGAAGTCTCCTCTTCCGCTCTCTCTCATTCTTTCCGCTCCGTATTTTATGCTTCCCCAACAAATGGTACCTTAATGACTGTGAACAGTGTAACCCAGCCTTTGTTATTCTTCTTGACATTCTTTAACATATTCCAGTATTCTAATATTACATTCCAATATATCCAATGCAATATTCTAATACACTACTCCAGACTTTGTTAGCTAACCCTCTGCCACATCAGGTTTCCTCTGTTTCTGTGCAATCCGTCGGCTATTCTGCTGATATCGAATGCACTCCTACAAAGGCCCCAGTCAGCAAAGTCTGCTTGCTTGTGAGCATCAAGGGTGTGTGACAGAGCAGAGCTGTGATGAAGATTCATAGAGATGCCAGAAGCAGGGTGCATTTGAGCTTCCTGCTCTGATTTTATAAAGGCCAAATCATTGTACTGTGCTGTATTTACATTATTTATGCTCTCTAATGGTGGCAGTAGAGTCAGTGTTTTTTTTTTTTTCCCGAGGCTTACATTCCCTACAGTCAAGGGCTTAGTGTGCAAAGTCTTTTTAGGCACGCGAGATGTCCCATGAGATGAACATTTCACGTTTGTTAGGCAACAGCCACTGGATGGATTACCATAAAATCTGATACTGATAATTCTTTTTTTCCTCCCCTGAGTGACTCTTTTCAGGTTCCATCCAGGAGTAAAGAAACATTTATGTTAGCGAGCTTTCAGAGATAAGTCTTGTTCTTTCCGAAATAATATTTTATCGACAAAGGAAACAAAGGCCGGCCATTTGGGGGATGCGGTGCATCGGTTTATTTAGGGATGACACAATGAACACTGTGTGCAGTGTAATAAGCGTTTGTGATGATGTACACTTGCTTAGCTGGCGTTCAATGTGTTAAAGAAATCATGCGGAGTGTGTTGCTCAGTGTCAGAAACCGTGAGAAGTTATGCAGCTTTTTAGCTGAAAACATGTAATCCTTTTTTCTTCTTCTGTCCGCTCACTTTGGAAGTTCTTTGAACGTTTTGAGACGATGAACAATTTATCCTTTTTTTTTTTCCAAGTTATTTTTATTGAAACAAATTATAAGATAATATCAATAAGGAATACAGTTCACTTTTTTTTTTCTTTTAAGATAAACATATACTTGTGCAGGTGTAACTTCACATATATAAATACAAGTATAAATGTTGAAGTAGTCACACCTACTACATATACCAAAAACAAAAACAAAACAAAATAAGAACAGTAAAAGAAGGGAACAACCCCCCCCCCATTCCCACCCTGTCTCAGCCCAACACATTCAGCAGAAAAATAAGATAAATAATAATAATACTATTTTAAAAAAAAATAATAATAATAATAATGAAAAAAAAACTTCAGTAAAGTACAGCAACAGGCACACATATTTAATTAGGTAGGAACTCCAAATCTGAAAAATAAGAAAGAAAACTCTGCCATTTTTGGAAAAAATTGTCCGTACATCCTCTCATTGTGTATTTGATTTTTTCAAGTTTAAGAAAAAACATCATGTCCTTAAGCCACTGGGTGATGGAGGGATATCTAGCAGACTTCCAGTTTAATAATATTGAACGTCTTGCGATTAAAGATGTAAAGGCTATTATATCTTTTTGCTTTGAATTTAATACTACTAAGGAATTAGAAATCCCAAATATAGCAGTCAGTGGACAAGGTTGCAAATTAACTTTGAGAATAGTAGACATAGCTGTAAAGTAACCGGACCAAAAAGCAGCCAGGTCAGGGCAAAAAAAAAACATATGACTAAGATGACATGGAGAGTCCTGACACTTGTCACATTTGTCTTCAATTTCTGGATTGATTTTACTGAGTCTGGACTTAGAGAAATGGACTCTATGTAAAACTTTGAATTGGATAAGACCAAGACGAGCACAAGAGGTAGTAGACCGTATTCTGTCAATTGCATCTTCCCAGAGATCTTCATTTAACTGTATTCCTAACTCTGATTCCCATGCATTCTTAATTTTGTTATCCAACTGAGAGTTTAGTTTCAGAATTGAGTTATATATCTTTGAAATATTTCCTCTCTGAGAAGGGTTATATAAAAGCAAGTTTTCCCAAGGCAACTCCGGGGGGATTGGAACAATTTATCCTTAATAACTATGCCTCAGACTTCATTGTTGACTTTTGAATGTGTAGTTTTAAAACTTGTAAAACTGGTATTCCACCGGCATCTACACTAATCCGTGCAAATGCTTGTTAGAAAATTGCTGCCTGTGTATATGTGTGCTAAGGTCCTGGTATATAGGTTAGAAAAAGTGTTGTACTGTACTCGTTTTTTGAAACAATAGAGGGTGATGAAAAAATATGTCTACCGCAGGGGCTGAAAAAGTTAAGAGAGGGAGCAAAGAAGAGGAGCAAAAAGGAACAACAAATATTTGAAAATGATGCCAAAGCACATTGCATTATATTTTCAATCCTTAACCTTAGCAAATTGTGATTATACGAAAGAGAAATAGGTGGGAGAATGAACAGGAAGGTTGAAGAGGATATAATCTCCCCAGCAATGCTCAGTGATCTTTCCAGAAGCATTTCCATTTCTTATTTGGAAAATGCAGGTAATTGATTGAATTAGGTGGCTGAATCCCGGCCAAGTAATCCAGGGTCCGCTGTCACATGGTCACGGCTTATGGCTCTGAAATGGAGCAGCACCATTCGTAACCTTATTAGTTGCAGCTGTGTTTTTCCTGCTGAATGAGTGCCACATCTGTGCAAACAAAGGCTGCTGTGTCAATCAGATGGATATTACGCTGTTTTTGTGTGTGTGCGTGTGTTTGCGTGCGTGATCGCACTTGGATTCGTGGCGTCCTGCCAGAATTCAGCCAGCCAGTGATGACTTGAGCAGAGTTTATCATCTGACACTGTATAAGGTCAGACAGAAAATAAGCTTAGAAAAAAAAGAGAAAGGGGGGAAAAAAAAAAGCCCACAGGACAAATACCAACTGATAGGTTCAGCCCCTTAACAGCAGGCCAGCCTTGACATTTGTGTGTGTGTGCGTTCGTGTGTGTGTGTGTGTTTGTGTGTATGTGTGAGAGGCTTTAGGTATTTCGTAGCATCTTAGCTATTTTGAGCTGTCTGTATCTGTACTGTCCTCCTCTGCTGACCTTTATGGTCTTTGTTTTTTTTTTTTTTTGTTTTGAAAAATTTTTGGTTTTTTAAAAACCTTTTTAAAATTTTCCCCCCCCCCCATATTTTTTGCAGCGTCCGCAGTAAGTCGGTAATTAAACCGAGGAACCATACTGAGGGTGAAATTTAAACCCATTGTCCTCCTGTCATAGAGCGCTCTTACACTGTATTTTATCTTTGACTCTCAATTAATATCCTCTTTTTTAACGTTTTGTCCGCTCTCGTCTCCTTTTTTCCTTAGTCGCCCTCCAGCATTCTGGCCCCCCCTCTCCCCCCTCCCTGCCCGTCGGCCCTTAAGAGCAGCAGGACCATGATGCTCAGCAGCTCGGTGGAGGTGCCCAGCCCGGGCGGGATGAGCGGCCTGGGCGGGCTGAGCGTGGCGGCCCGCAACGTGGTGCGCTCCTCCAGCATCTCGGGCGCCATGTACAGCCTGGACAAGAGCCCCACCGGCGGGGGGGCCGACTCGGCGTCGCTGGCGGGCAACAAGAAGCGGCGCTCCAGCCTGGGTGCCAAGATGGTGGCCATTGTGGGGTTGTCACAGTGGAGCAAAAGCACACAGCAGCTCAACCAGCAAGGTAGGTCTGCAGGAACACTTTTACAGAGTCCAAGCCGTTCTGATTGTATTATATTTGTACAAATGTTTACATTACATCATTCAGATATTTTCCTTCTTCAACTCTTGTGATCATGGCTGTTTCCTTTGACTCTTTTTCCCACTGTTCTTGGCACTGTTTCCACACCTTTTCCTGGGACTTTCCTTTCCATTTAATTTTTCTTCCCTCTGAGAATCTCTATCTGTCTTTGGACCATCTATATTTTCAATGCATTGGAACATTGCGCATTGGTTTAAATTACTTTTTTTTCCAGGTTTTGTTAAAATGTGTAATGGTTTGAATGATTTTTGTGCACAAAAATAGTCTCCACATCAAATTTGTTAGTGTATAGCCTAGGGTTGTCACGATACTAAAATTTTCAACTCGATACCGATACTCAGGAAAATACTCGATACTCGATACCATTTTCGATACCACAAGGATAAAAACAAAGACCCCAAAATTTAACTGAATTTTGATAGGTTAGTGTCTTTCATTTCAAACTGACCTGTTACTGATGTTATCGTGGCTGGTGGCCTGAATTAATGACCCTAATCCTGACCCTAATCCTAACCTTAACCCTAACCCTGCCCCTGACCCTAACCCTCCACCCTTCATAATTGTGAGAAACAATTTTTGGGTTAAACTTGTTTGGACTTATTGTACAAACCTATTTAACATCCACTATTTTAACATAATATTATGGATAGAGTTTTACTAAGTGTTTGAAAGATTAATTTAACTATTTTTAAATTAATGTCTATATTGCCATGAGGCATTACTATTTTCTTGCCTGGGATTTTCCTTTTGGTGACGTAATCAAAATGGCCGATTTGGATGTGGGCTGAGACGGATATGTACTTGATTAATGTTGGCGTGTTATTATTAGCCATTAGCCGCAGCTAGCAGTTCAAGGCTAACGTCACGTTAATGATCATAAACAACGTAAATAAATACATAAATAAATTTGAAAGAAGGGGCGCAGCGACGGCAGGTCAGCGTCGCGCGCGCGCTTGCGCGGGCTCGCGCGGACTCGCACGGGCTCGCGCGGTGGTATCGATACTTTTGAAAATGAGTATCGTATCCGGATACAACATTTTAGTATCGATACTTTTCTAAGTATCGATACTTTTGACAACCCTAGTATAGCCTTATAATTGCTCTCCTCATGGCATTAGTGAACTAGCTGGCAGCAGTTTCGATGTGTTATTATTATTTTTATTAGTATTATTGTTGCTGTTGTAATGAGTTTTTTTGTCAAAGGCTACTGTAGGCCCCATTGCGTGCAGTGGGCTTGCAGCAGTGGCAGCGAGCATGCATTGCGGCCGCATGGCGGTGACAGGGGCTCTTATGTTCCAATATGCCCCCCTATGGCATGTAATTACAGATCCCGTGCAGCTGCAACCAAAGTGTTCCTCAATTTGCGCCTCAGTGGTGAACAAAAGCCCTCTCATTGCTGCTGGATAATGGGGAAAACATGTCACACACTGAGACCTGGTTATGGCTGAGAGGCAGGGCCAGCGGGGGCAGAGAATGCAACTCACAGCCGAGCTTTAGTTTAATTCGATTCATTCGGATATAGGATCCGTAATTCGGTCCAGTGTGTTGACATCTACTTTTGGAAAACCTAAATTAAGTTCTCTCAGTAAAGTAAATTTGTCTCTACATATTTTCAATTTATCCTCCCTCTCTGCGTGAAATAATGAAATCATTTGTGCATGTTATATGAATCACAAGTAACATATTTAGAGTTTTACCTGGAAACAACAAAGGCTTTTTATCCTCTATGGCTAGCTCGGTATTAACGCTGCATGTCTGCGGATAGCAGTCACCTTGGTGGAAAATTCCACTCTGTATGTCTGCCTTTTATTGTTTAATACTATATGACGGGCTTTTGGCTTTATCCCTTGCTTCTAAGTTTACAATTCTTGGAGGTTAGTGTGAAAACTGGCTGTACTAGGATTATATTTTGAGATGCGTGTCCTTGCTTATGATTCACTTTATTCCACCTCTTTACATTTGCTTGATTCTCTTTTACCTTCTGCACATGCACTTGCTGGATTTTAAGATTGCCAATCTCCAAACTAATATGACTCCATTCACATATCTTCCCTCATCTGTCATCAGATAGGTGAAGCGGGTCTACAATGACCCAAAATTCTCTCTGTTAAGACTGTGAATTCAGCCACGGCCTCTTTGAAATCGTCGTATGGCTGCTGCTCTGCTCTAATAAATCCTGATGCTTTAAGGCCTTGCGTCATCCGTCTGCACAGTGACCTCAGCTGTACTTCCTTAAACAATGGTTACTCATGGGGAAAGTTGGCGAAGTTTTGCGGGTTCGAAAGTGTGCGAAAGAGATTAGCGGCTCTCCCATTTGTAAGTGTGAAAGTTGAGCCTCAGTGCCTGCAAAAATTTAAGCCATGTGATAAAACAAGTCAACAGAGAGGGGATTTTCTAAATAAAAAACTCTAATTGTCTTTTATTATGTCTATAAAAAAAAAGATATGACCCATAAGACTTTGTTTCATCTTTAAAAAGAAAAAGATTAGAAATGGATAGTGGTGGATGATTATAATATGGCACTCTGGCCAAATTGTGGGATATTGAGCTTATTCATTATCTGACTACAGCCCATCTGTAGCTGTCAATATCTCCACCACAGGGGCGTTTGTGTGTCTGTGTTTGCGGCGATGGGGAGAGCGCGGTGGAGGAGAACGTGTGGATGAGGAGGCAAGGAGGGGCTGAGGATGTGGAGGGGAGGAAGGGGAGACGAGGGGTGTGCCTAAATTTAGATGTTCTCAGCTGCCAGAGGAACACGCAGCGCCTGGAACAAAATCACAGTATTGTGCACCCGTCCTTCTCTTCTCGCATCCACAGCGCTCACCTTGTTGGAGCTGTGATCATCTTACTCTGGCAACAGGCTTCCAGATGCATTTCCAAAGTTTTTTTTTCTCCTCTGATGAGCAGAACTTTGTGATTTGAATAGACGAATCTGTGTCAGCTGAGACTCAAACCTTTACAGTGAGGATCACACCGGAGCATTGTTTGAAATCACTGGGAAAAGTTGGATTAGTGCTTCCTTTAACCAGCATAACCTTATTTAGACTTAGATGTATAACGTCCCAATTGATTTAGGTGCAAATTGAATCAAGGTCCAGCACTGTTACGTAAAATTGACTCAACAAAATAACGTCATTACGCCACTGGGAATTGGTCCAGAGCTGAAAATTGTACCAGACTGAGACTATGAACCTGCTGCTGGAGAAAAACAAGGTTGTTTACACACAAACCCAGTAAGGTTAAGATTGGGCCGTCCTTTTCTCCAACTGCCTTATAATTTACTTTAGCTAGCCGGAAATGTTATGTCATAGAAATGGGCATGCGACGTAAAGGGAATGAGTGACAGGCCAACGTGTCTTTGTTCTTGGTTGGGTTAGAAGAAGCTCCTTCCTGGGTGTCATTAACCGCCCGATTTGGTTTCCTGCTGGGGCTCAGTGTTCCAAGGGACACAAATATTGCCCGTCCACATGCATCAGTGACCCAGTGGCCTGCCCTCTGCTCAGCCGGCCAGCTAATAGCCATTAAACACAGCTTGGTCTGGTCCAGAGAGAGGAGGAAAATGCACGATAGAAATAAAAAAGTTTTACTAAGAAAACTGGTTTTAAAACACTTTGATTGATCAGCTTCTTGTCTGTGGTAGGACCCTCTCATGGATTTCCTCTTGACCAGGTACTGCCGGTTCCCTTAACAAAATGATCAATAGGTGACACAGAGGTGACACAAAACTAACCAGGTTTACACAGTGGGTTTTATGTCCACTCTGGGTTCTAAGCTAAAGATCTGAATACAACTTCTATCAGATTAAACATGTATTTTTACCAGGATGATATTCCCTTTCTTGGATCAAAGGGATTTTGATGGTCATGTCCAGAACTTGTTGGCAGCCACGCCGGGGAATGAGATCTACGATTAGCTGAAACAAATGCTTCAACTCTGCTGTTGTACCTGGTGAAAATAATTTATGATCTGCTAGGTCCCACATAAACAGATCATGCTCTGCCTTCCGTCAATGCCTCACACCGATCTGTCTCCATTTGGGAACCTTTTAGACTTAAGGTTTGGCTGAAATCAAGGTAACAGCAGAAGGATGGGAAGAATCGCCTTAGGAAACCGGTTCATGTGAAGATGTCGGCTGGCCAAAAAGAAAAAAGACTGATTGTGTACAGTAATGCATTCAACCATAAGTGTATTGATTCAGTTGCAATAGCTCAGCTGGTCAGTCATCTTTATAGAACTGTAAATAGTGGCATCGGTTTTAAGGTCATAGTGCAGAAAACAAGGTTTCACAAGTTTCTTTGTTTATTTTTTTAGGCATGCCATAGTTGTATACAATTATAAACATATTTATAGAGACATATATGAAAAATACGCCCTTTTCGGTGCAGATTATTTTAATCCCGGCATGTTATTCTATAGTTTTATATATAGTTCTATATTCCATACATAGCATTTCAGTTTTCCATGACATTCCCCACATAACTCTGATTCCGTACTGAAGTCTCATTACTCCAGTTTTTCTACCAGGAGAGTATTGGTGATGGCATTTTGGTTCTGTCTGTGCTCTATTTATTACCTGCTATTATTAGTATCAGTAAGAAGAACACACACACACACACACACACACACCACGTCGAACGATTTCCCAGGTTTAATGGGTGAGTCACTCCTCGGCTGAACACGCTCTTATCTCCTGAGCCGGTTTATCTGTCAGCCAGCTCCCAGTTAAGCCGAGACCCGCAGGTAGGGACGCGGCCCCTCCGAAAAAAAACAAACGGCTCTGACGAGACGCAGAGCAGCAGACAGATGAAAGGAAACCAGGTGGAGATATTTGTGTGTTTGGTTAGCGTCCCAGGAAAAGAAAAAAAGATTCACTCCCCCCCCCCTTCTCCGTCCCCCTCCCACTCATCACTGTCCCGGCTTAA